CATACCCTGCCAATCATAGAGGGGCCAGGAGAGCATCTAGTGAGTTACCAGGACTGGCCTGGGCCCCACCCAGGGCTGCTTACCCCATGGAGGAGAGGAGTGGGAGGGAAGCTCTACCCTCTAGAGTCTGCAGAGGCCAATAGAAAGAGCCCAGAAGGGTCCAAGACACTCATGTACAGTCCCTTTACCCATCCCTCCAGCCAATTAAGTCGTTCTTCCTGCTTCCAGAAGTAGTCAATTGATAGAGTGGACTAAAGGGTAGAAACCACTTTCCAACATTTCCAAAAGAAAAAAAAAGTTTCTATTTTACAGACCAAGGTAGAAAACTTGATTAAGAGAGAAAATAGTTTCTCCTTCACATAAAACATTCTTAATAATAGTCTTAACAATAACAGGGAAATGGGCCATTTAAGTGCATCAGAAGAGCCACATGGAAGCCAAGGCCTGCTGGCTTAACACAGGTGATGCCTTCTGAAACTCTCCTTGTGGCTCTGAGAAGGGGGACACGACAGAGCCTAGAAACAGAAAGTAAATAGGGATCAAATGGCTCCCTTTCTCGGCTGTTTGGAGAACTGAATGTTAAGTCTTTGATGAGCATTACCACGGTCTGAGTTACAGAAGTCACTCTCACTCCCCGCTTCTCATTTTCGCTGCAATCCCTCTGGTTATTCGAATTAGGAAAGTGCTTGGACTACATATTCAGCTTCTGTTTCTCCTTCTCCAAATGTGTTCTGGATGCCCACTGTGTCACTCAGTGTCCAGGCCCCGAGGATCACTCCTTCCTTCCAAACATTAGCTTCTTGTCCATCATGCCTCCACTCAGCCCCTCTGGTTCCCATCAATCTAATTCGTCTCTGTCTCCCAAATCTTGGACTGCCCACGACGGGAGGGATGCAAAATGCTAAGTGCTAAATGCTGTGAAGCTGTTTCTCCATTGAATGCATCAGCAACCTCTCTCCCCAGAAAGATGCCACTGTCTTTCCTCTGGTCCAGACCCACCTCGTTTCCGGCTGTCCCACCTTATTCTGATAGAGGTTGAGACACAGCGTGGTGCCGCGTAAGGAGTAGGCCTTGGTGTCCACAAAGCTCTGCTGCTTTAAGCCGTTAACAGCTGCTTCAGTTTAAGACACTTAACTAGTCTGGGCCTCAATTTCCCCATCTGTCAATGGAGATAATAATATACAAGGCACAACATCTGGGATAACAAATTAAAGGACCTCGGCAGTTCACTGGAGCCAGGCTGGGGTTTTCAGACCTTCCTGAAGAGTCATTCCTCATCATTAGGTGGTTGTGAGGCTCAGACGTGAATACGAGTGCGACGCCTGCTGTTCAATTCCAGGCTGACAGGAGCGCCCTTCCAGCCCTCGATCATCCACGTGTCCCGGTGTCCTGTTCCTCCTGAACGCCCCCAAGACCCTCTGGAAGATGCAGTTAACCCCCCGGCCTCCCTTTGAGCTGGACTCCCACCCTCCGTGCCCTCTACTTACTGTACGTTGCCAGCTTACTGAGCCCTAATCACCTGTTTCATTAAAAATGGCTAAATTGATAAACGCTAATTGCTCAGAGAGAGAGAGAGAATAAAGAATGGTGTGTGCGGTAGACTCAGGGGACAAGCCACATAGAGAGGGCTTATCTCCTGTCTGGAATTTAGTGAACTCTTTCCAGATTTCAATTACATTTCTCAAAAACAAAAACAATACCCATTCTGCTAGGAGGGGTTCACCCCCGTTTTATGGAGAGCAGAGCCAGCTGTGTTAACGGGCAGAAAAAAAGTCAAGAGACAATCACAGCTCACGGGGAGTGGGCAGGACGGCTGCCGAGCGCTGTGCTGACGGCTCCGCGTGGCATCTTCACAACAAGCAGGGGAGGGAGTGACTGTTATTATCCTCGTTTTGCAGGTGGGGAAACTGAGGGTCAGGCAAGTTAGGCCATTTGCTCAAGGTGAGAAGGTATGGGCCCGGCAGAGCTAAGACATGAACACAGCTGTCAGATCCCAGAGATCGTGTTCCCACCCCCAGGGCATCCTACCTAAGGGAGGGAGAGGGACATACACGTTCCCCAGAGTTCATCATGGCAGATGACTGCCGGGACTTGAACAGCCCCAGATCCCACCTAACTTTGTAAACAGCAGCTCTGGAAGTGTGGAAACAGCCCTTGGACCTGGACTCAAAGGACCATCATTGGAGATTTGAATGATTTGAGGTTTGAGTTCTCGTTGGAAAAGTCACTCAACCTCCCTTCATCTCAGTCTACTCATCTATAAAATGGAGCTAGTTATCTTCACTCTATGAAACTTCCAAGGTTGTTGAGCTGAAACAAGGAAGACACCAGACGTGAAGAGTCATGACCCAGAAACCCCTCGACAAGCTTTGTTATCGACGGTAGAGGAGACACACTCAGCAAAGCTCTCTGTTCTCTGAGTTCAGGCAATGGGTGCAGAGAAGAAGGGTGATGCCCTTCTGGTAGCTGCGGTGATTGAGGAATGTGGTGGCTTTTGTGCCTCCTGGTTCTGGGGGGTTCTCTCCATGAGTAGCTGGAACTGACCAAGTCCCTTGAACCTGACCGGAGAGATGCCCTTTTAGGTTCCATCAGGATGGACTCTGTGGATGCTGCCTGGTGAAACAGGTCAGCATGGAACAATCTTGCCGGAATGGACCCTTCAAGGCAGCCTGATGGCTCACCCCCATCCCTCCAACCCGACCTTTTGCTCAGGAGGTAGGGGATGCTGACAGCTCAGGTAGAGTTCTCAGCCACATTTTCCTTAAACAGGTACAATAGTGCCTGGGGATTCGTGTGTTGTGCCTTAAGAGAGCAGGAGCGAGAACTAGGAAATGTGGCCCCACATCGACACGTCTCATCAGGGATTCCCCACATCAGGGGTTCTCTACTCCGGTGATTCTGATCCCCAAGGGCATTTGGCCGTGTCTGGAGACATTTTAAGTCATCACAACTCGGATGTGTGTGTGAGGGTGCCGCTGGCATCTAGTGGATGGAGGTCAGGGATGCAACTGAAAACCCTACAGGGCACAGGAAAAACCCCACCACAAAGAGTGGTCCAGCCCGGAATGTCAATAGTGCTGAAGTTAAGAAACTGTGGTCTAGATAATATTTCAAGGTCTCCTTAACAGCAGCTGCTGTTACTCCCACTATCCTTTCCTTGTCTCTACTTAATGGCAAATGGCCCTTGGAGGGGGAGGTCCTGACCTACCATGGTTACCACCGTGAGCCCCCAAATGAGAGTTATTACCAAAGAAAAAGTCATTTTTTTTGCATAGAATGATGATAATTGCCACCCTATTTTAGATAAGGGTTTTAGACTCATGCTACGATAGCATACAGGCTAGTTTAACTCATACTGCGCACTCCGTCTACCATCTCCCTAGTCTGCCATCCCATGAATGATGGTGTTAAGACTTGATCTCATGGTCAGGACAGGTAGGCTTGCAAGGGATAAAGGTCCTTTACATTCAAAGAATTTTCCTTCGCCAGCTCTTCTCTTATACAATGAAGCATCGCATTTGCAAATCACAGTGTCAGTTCAAAATTATATTAAATTCAAATAAGATCCAACTCAAGCATTCCTGCACTCATCAACCTGCCAAGAGAAACGTACAGAGCACCTTTTAAGCCCAAAACCTTCTGCTCCAGCCTGGAATTCTAAATAAGAAGCGGCGCTGCAACCCACACGGCCGACCACCCCCTCAGAGTGCACACTCAGATGGGAGCGTGCACTCACATACCTGCAGGGGAACAGGACGGATTTGCTGTGGAGGCTCGTGGTGGAGACTGACAGCTCCAAACCTACTTCCTTTCGTCTTGTGCATGCAGCTAGACGCCATTTCTCATCTTCCTCTGCAGCTGGACGCACCTGGGTCTCTGAGTTCTGGACTGTGAGCTAGAAGTGAGGAGAGTCCCTCACAACGTAGCCCATGAGAACCTCTCGGGCTTGGTCTCTCTCCTTTCCCATCACCAAGCCAGAGACAGAGGATCCAGCAGCAGACTCCAAGACCCCAGGGGGTGGCACAGCCATAGTGTGGAAGGGTCCCAGGATGGTGGGGGGAAAGACCACCCCTAAGCAAGAACGCCAACACTGGAGTGAGACGTCAATTTGTATTGCATTAAGCTACTGAAATTTGGGGCATGGTTTTCACAGCAGCTAGGGTTACTTGTCCTAACTAATAGCAGATGTGCGCCCAACCGTCCACCCAAGAGGAGCTGATTCTCCTTTGTGTCCCCATTATGATTTATAAAGACCTTTATCACAATACCTGGAAGGCCTTGCTGCACTAATTTGTTTATCTCTTTGTGTCCCTACAGTGGTCGCCACAGACTTTTTTCATGGTAGGGGCTTAGGGGTGGCCATCTTACCACCAGGGGAGATAGGAAACTTGTCTTGAAGTTATAGCTGCCTAGAAAATGCACCATTTCACTCTCAACTTAAAAAATAAGAAGATACATTTTGTTGGCATTTTTTTTCAGCAAGGATTCTCCCCTAGATTCAACTAGGATGGCAAAGTCAACATTCTACCAGGGTACTTCTCCATTTTTATTCTCCTCTTAAAAAAATATAATAAAAGACTGTAAGGCTATTTTGTTTGGAGCAATAGAAGGTATCAGCCTACGTCCTCCCTGTAGCAACGCATGTTGCATTGAAGAATCACCCAGCTGTGCTACCTGTTTTTGAAAGGAGACCAGAGACAGCCCTAGGGATCCAGGAGCCATTGGAGGATCTGGGCGGAAGACAACGGTCAGACTCGGGGGCTGTTAAAACCAGAAGAGGGAGGCGGGGCGGAGGCGCCGGGGCCGCTGTTATTGTTCAGCTGGGCTCCGTTGGGCGCCGTCTCCCTTGCCTCCGATGGTGTCGATTTCTCCCGCTTCCTCTCGGCACCTCACTCCCGGCGGCTGACGACGGCGGCGGCGGCGGCTGCGGCGGGCGGAGCCTGGCGTTTCGAGGCCGAGCGGCGCCGTGGTGAGGGGCGCGGCGGAACGGGAGCCGCCTGCCCTGGCGCCGGGCGGCCGCGGCCATGGCGTACGCCTGTCTGTTCAAGTACATTATCATCGGCGACACAGGCGTTGGTAAATCATGCTTATTGCTACAGTTTACAGACAAGAGGTTTCAGCCAGTGCATGACCTTACTATTGGTGTAGAGTTCGGTGCTCGAATGAAAACTATTGATGGGAAACAGATAAAACTTCATATTTGGGGTACAGCAGGTCAGGAGTCCTTTCGTTCCATCACAAGGTCGTATTACAGAGGTGGAGCAGGGACTTTACTAGTGTGTGATATTATAAGGAGAGACACATTCAACCACTTGACAACCTGGTTAGAGTATGCCCGCCAGCATTCCAATTCCCACATGGTCATTATGCTTACTGGAAATAAAAGTGATTTATGTGAGGCCAACTGGCCCGAGGCAGGGGAACGCAATCAGACTCCCGGGTTGAAACTGACCTGGAGACTTTCCGGACCACCCAGTTCCAGGAACTGACCTGGGGACTTTCCACCCGGCCCAGCCTTCCCGCCTTTCGAGGGGCGGGACTAACGGTCCCCCACGATACCTGAAAAGACCACCAAATAAGGAATATCCTGCGCCCTCCCGGATTCACCACACCCCTTTCCCTTCTTCCCCTATAAATTCTGCCCAAACCCTTGCCCGGGCGCGACTTCTCTAGCCCCTTTCTCTCGGGCCAGTGAACCTCTCCCGAGAGCGTTCCCAAATAAAGCTTGTTTAAGCTCTCCTCCGTTTTTGGTGCTGTTCCTTACAATTTAGAATTTAGAAGAGAAGTAAAAAAAGGTGAAGCTTTTGCACGAGAACATGGACTTATCTTCATGGACACTTCTGCTAAGACTGCTTCTAATGTAGAAGAGGCATTTATTAACAGCAAAGGAAATTTATGAAAAAATCCAAGAAGGAGTCTTTGACGTTAATAATGAGGCAAATGGTATTAAAATTGGCCGTCAGCATGCTGCTACTGACGCCACGCACGCAGCACGCAGGCAGTCAGAGAGGACAGCCCGCCGGGGGAGGCTGCTGTTGAGTCTGTTTTTACTGTCTCGCTGCCCAGAAGAGGCTACTCACCTATTCTTTCACCCACCTGCTCAGCTGAGACATGAAACTCTTCGAAATGGCTTTATGTCACAGAAGAAGACTTTAATCCTTCAAATTCTTGTGTAACTTTGAATAAATGGTTAACGTTCACTTAAAAAGACAGATTTTGGAGATTGTATTCATATCTATTTGCATTTGATTTCTAGGTCAATTGACGTGATTATTTTTGTTCAATGTTGTCTTGTGCCCTTACCTACGAACTGAATTGTATTGAACACTACGAAGTCATCCTGAGTATTTTAAATCGGTTTGTGTAGTTAGGTGTCCCCACACCTGTGGTTACCTAATGTTTAATATTATGGAACTGTCCTCAAAAGTTTGTCAATTTTCAAGGCTATAAGGAAAACAGAAGGACTCTTTTAATTCTGTATTTTATCAATTACTTTCTGTATATATAGTTTAATAACCTGCTTGGGTGTAATTTGCCAAGCTTGGATTCTTTAATGCATTTGCATAAATTCTATACCGTTTAGAGCTTACCGCTACAGAAGCATCGTTAGGAATTGCTTGGACACTGAATTTTAAACTTTTTGACATTGTTAACAAGCATGTTCATCTTTTTCTTGTCACTAGTCCGAGAGAAATATGCTTAATGTACTTTCTAAAGGCTATGTGTGTGTTAACCTGTTTTAATGCCAAAAGTTTGCTGTTTGTCCACAGTTCTTTAAGACCTCTTCAGAAAAGGATTTATTTGCCTTAATGCATACTGTTGGGTAAAAACACAGTATAATGAGTGAGGTGGGTGGAAGAAAGAACTGCCCCCACCTGAGAGACTCCAGGAGGAGTGAGGGTCCACATTTAGACGGCACATTACGAGGACTTTAATCTTTCCTTGAACACAATCACGTTTTCTTTTATTCACATGATTTCTAAGTATATTTTTCACGCAGGACAGTTTTTCAACCTTGATGTACAGTGACTGTGTAAAGTTTTTCTTTCAGTGGCAACCTATAATCTTTAAAATATGGTGAGCATCTTGTCGGTTTTGAAGGGAATATGACAATAAACCTACCAGATGGAAAATCCTGTTAAAAGTAGAAAAGCTCTAGTAATTTGCTCAGTGTGGTGGTTTTAGCCTTCTTTTTCTTTTTCTCCCTTGGACTATAATGAAATTGTTATAGCAGTGCAAAATAAAATCCTATGTATAAAAAAAATTAAAAAATAAAACAAGAAGAAACTTAGGAATCATCTCAGGTTGTAGATGGGAAAGCTATTGCTGCACTAATAACACGAGGGGTCAGATCACCCAAGGTCATCAGCTGGGAAGCAACTGGTGTCCCAAAGTCTTCACTCTTAAGCACCTCCCACAAAGGTCCAGGTGAAAGCACCTGGGTTCTTCCTAAGGCATCCTTCCACCCTCTGTCCCCAGGATCTAGTGCAAGCAGAGTCATTCATGCTTGCTCCTCCAGAGGCCGGTGTGGGTGTCTAGGGACCTTGGCCCCAGCCTGAAGCCCTCATGTCACACTAGAAGACGACTGGGCCAAGGAGCTGAGTAAGGCTCATGGCAAACATTTTCAGGGAAAATAACCTCTGAGTCACAAGAAGGATAGCCAGATGGGTCATCTCCAGCAGCAAAGAGGGGGTCAAAGCAATGGGTCCCAGTACCCCTTGGGGTCATATTGCCTGCAGAATAATTTAGGGGATGGGGTAGATGGGGAGGAGGGGTGAGCGCAACAGAAATCTTACTCAATGAGCTGCATCTGGGCAACCTGTCCAATTCAGTCCATCTCCAATCCAATGTCCAGTCCGATGTTCATTCGTCTAGACACGTCACACTTGCTAGAGGTTAAAAGTACAACTCTGGGGCCAGACTGCCTGGGCTTGAATCCCAGTTCCCCTGCTTACCTGTGAGACTTTGGATAATCACTTACCTCTGCTTGACTCAATTTTCTCCTCTGTAAAATGGGGACATTAATTGTACCTGCTTCATAGGGCTGCTGAGAGGATTACAAGGAGGCTGGCACCTTATAAGCACCATATAGATACTATATATATACTATACATACATATATATATGAGTATAAATATATATAAATGTGTATATACGAGATTACTTTATAAAATACCTTGTGATTTTCCATTTCATGGTTTCACCCCAGGACTAGCCCACCTACCCTGGAGACGATGACCGTCCAGGCGGCTCTGTGCATCACGAAAACACTCTTTGTTGACTTAAACCAAAGGGAACACAAATGTCTTCTGCTATCTGGAGTGTGACTGCTGCCGTAAGCTTGGTGGCCCACTGCCCCAAGCCTGGCTTTCGGGGAAAAAGACCCAGGAGATGTGATCTAAAGGAGGATAAATAGTTCCCCCTGTGTCTGGAATCAAGGGGCATTTGCTTTCAGCGTTGAGGAATCCATTCTCTTCTGTAGCCCCAAATCTTTATGGAGGGAGGAAATTACCAGAGGTAAAACTGCATCTGTTTAGGGGTGCCTGACTCACTTGGGGACAGCACTGGAATGCCAGTGGGCCCAGGCCCTGCTGGTCACCCCTCTCCCGGAGCAGGCTGCCCACTTAGAGGGCGGAAGTGGGGAAGGGGTCTACCCTTCTGTCATCTGGCCGACATCCTGCAGTGACCTCACCGCTGATGCTCTGGGTGGCCAGGAGAAAGATGCTTCACCTCTTTCTGGGTTTCTCTTTCCTCTTCAGTAAATGTAAGAGAATAATGATGAGTCCTGCCTTGTATTATTAGCGTTGATTAAATCACAGATGCAAACACCTCTGCACAAACACCAAGAGGTATTATTCCAATCAACTCGTGCTGATCTGCCCCCTCCCACCCACCAAACTCAGCCTCTCCTTCCTCTGATAACTCCAAAGGGGTTAAAAGATTTGCATCCTGGCTCTGCCATTTACTAGATTATGCCTTCAGACAATGCATCACTTCTCTGTGAAATGGGGCTAATAATAGTACCTCCCTGCAGAATTGCAGGTGAGAATTAAATGAACAAATCCATGGTAAAGCACTTAACTCACATCAGTACCTGCCACAAAGCAAATAGACATTGACAGAGATTAGCAGTAAGGGCACACTTAACACCTTGTGTGTAATTTGTCCCTCTTTGTGCATTCCTATGCGATTGTGAGCTCCTCAAGCACAGGGGCATGACCTTTCTATTTTAATCTATTCTCCTTTGCAGTGGGTATGGGATGCCTCCCGCATACCTCTCTCTCTAACAGAGTACAAGGCTCTCACACCCCCCGCCCCCACCTCACCCCTTTTCCAGCCACTGCTGCCCTGGCCTTTTCTGCTGAGCTTTGATCAGCTTTGTACAGGGTCGCTTGGTCTCAGCTTTTGTCCATGTGTCTCTTATGCCCTGTCCCAGGGCTTCTCTCATGGGTGTCACACTCCTGGGCACTCATCTTTGTCCAACCGGAAGTGTGGGAAGTTAACACCGACAGGCAGGTCTTGACCAATGGGACAGGAGCCGATGCCTCCCACTGCCTTCCCCCAGGAGCACAGTCCTGAGCAGCATTTCATAAAGTGACTCAGAGTGTCCATGGGACGGAGCAGTCGCTCAGAGTGGTGGCCAGTTTAATAAGGCCTCCTTGCATTGGGTTCTCCCTTCCTGTTTCATTTCCCCAGGCCCTCCCTCCTTCTCTCTGGTCCTATGTTCTCCAATAAACAGCCCCACTACAAGCCTTTCTCTCGGGTTCTGTCTGCAGGGGGCCCAGGCTAAGACATCCTCTTGCTGTGTTTCCCATCACAGGGAATGGCAACCCCATCCACACTGGTTCCAGGAAAGAATCTGGGGAGAGATTCCCTACTCTTCCTCTCCCTTCTTTACTCCTCCCCCCGCAAAAAAAAAAAAACAAAAACATCCAAATGATTTCCTTTCTGTTGATTCTGTTTTATTTTCTGTTGGTTTGATTTGACTTCCTGTTGATTTTATCCTCCTAATTATTGATTTTACTTTATTTCCTGCTGCTTCTTTTTTATTTCCGGTTGATTCTACTTCCTGCGAGCTTTTTCAACAGCTAGTTTCTTTCTCAGCGTCTCAGCTGCCTCTGCCTTTGTATGGGCCACCACCATCCCTCTCCCAGCACACAGCAGCAATCTCAACGGTCTCCCTGCTTCCAGCACTCAACAAGGCCAGAGCTCAAAGACTCTTGTATAGCTTGCTCTGTAGTTTGAACTTTACCCTTACTCTGGTGGGAGGGGTGTGGTGGGAGTGGAGGGTGGTGATAAGGAGAGTCTAGAGGCAGGGAGGTAATTTAGGAGGTTCCCACAAGAACCCCAGGCAAGAGGTGGGAGATTTGGCAATAGATGTGATTTTTGGGGGTGGTTTTTTTTTTTGCGGTACGCGGGCCTCTCACTGTTGTGGCCTCTCCCATTGTGGAGCACAGGCTCCAGACGCGCAGGCTCAGCGGCCATGGCTCACGGGCCCAGCCGCTCCGCGGCATGTAGGATCTTCCCGGACCGGGGCACGAACCCGTGTCCCCTGCATCGGCAGGCGGACTCTCAACCACCGCACCACCAGGGAAGCCCTGCAATAGATGTTTTGAGTTCGCCCTCCACTTCTTGTTTCCTGGGAGTCCTGCAACTCATAACATTCACCTCCCAGATTTCAGGGGCAGGGAGCAGGCTCAGAATCTGAAGACTCATGCACATTTGGCATCAGGGGACTCAAGAACCCACGAGCAGGCTTCTTGTCCTCAGATAAAAGTGCTGCTTCATCTCCAGGCAGGGAATGGAGCAGTCAAAGGGAATTAAATTAATAAACTGCGTAAGGAAACTAGACCCACTCCAGCCCCCTCTGTCCATCACCCCAGCACCGATGCCCTCGGCCTCTGTGCTGATTAGCAGCAGCTCCAATCTGGGGGGCAGGGAGTCTGAAGTCTGCTATTTCTGTGTCTGTCATTGTCACCCACAGGTGCTTGGTGGGGAGGAGGTCCAGAAAAAGCTTTATGCTTAAACTGAAACTATAATACACAGTTTATTTAGGGACCAAGGAAAGCCATCTAGGGCCCATCTTTTATTTTCTCTTAACTAACATTTTTATGTCAACCATCATATGTAACTCCCCTAATCTTCTGAAGGGACACTTATTCCCTTCATTTTACAGATGAAGAAACTGAGTCTCAGAGAAGCAAAGTAACTTGACTAAGATCATGCAGGTATGTCTCCATCCCCACTATATGCTGAAAGTCCCTTTTAATCTTTTCCTTTAAAGGGCTGGTCAGAAAGACTCCTCTGGGTGGAAAGTGTAAGGCCAAATGGCCCGAGGCGGGGGAACGCAATCAGACTCACAGGTTGCATCAGACCGACACTTTCCGGACCACCCAGTTCCAGAAACTGACCTGGAGACTTTCCGGACCACCCAGTTCCGGAAACTGACCTGGGGACTTTCCACCCGTCCCAGCCTTCCCGCCTTTCGAGGGGCGGGACTAACGGTCCCAAGACTGATGCCACTGGCACCAGATATTGCCACGATACCCAAAAAGACCACCAAATAAGGAAAACCCTGCGCCCTCCCGGATTCACCACACCCCTTTCCCTTCTTCCCCTATAAATTCTGCCCAAACCCTCACCCGGGCGCGACTTCTCTGGCCTCTTTCTCTCGGACCAGTGAACCTCGCCCAGGAGCGCTCCCAAGTAAAGCTTGTTTAAGCTCTCCTCCGTTTCTTGGTGCCGTTCCTTACAGAAAGAATAGGCTATAATCATTGGCCCACTTTTCAAAGGTTATTTTTTATCTGGAGCCGAAGGACCTATTCCCTTTCATCCAGAGGCTGTCTTTTGAGGCCATTCCAGTACCCCTCCCCCACAAAGACCACTGGCAGCGCTCCAGGCCACGCCAGCCACTCTTACCTCCAAGTTCCAATAGCACCTAAGCCTGTGCTGATCCTTTGGCTTTTAATTATCAGAATTCCATATAACTTCTCTTTCTTTATTATTTAACACTTGAT